ATGGCTCATTGCTGATTCTTGTCTTGCTAATTTAGATACACTGCAGAGATGCAAGCCTATACTACTTGAAAATGCAACTGTTTGGCTTGATTAAAAAAATAGCTTCATGGAAGCCAGCCTTAAAACAGCACCCAACAGATAAGGAGGTAGAAAACCCCCGTATAATAAAAAGCACTCAGTACAAAAACCAGATCATTTCCCATAAAAAAAATACTGTAGTTTAAACCAGAATGAATTCTATCATCATATATAGATTCAGCAACCACTTTCCATTATATTCATGACATATTTTTAAAAGCCATTAACTAATGTTAAATGTTAGTGATTAAGCAAAAGGTATCCTATTCAAAAATGACAAGAACCAAAGTCCCAGGGAGATAAACCCTGGGCAACTCACAGCTTGAAGCAGAGACTGGCGATGGAGGCCACAGAACAGTGCCCACACAAGTCATGCCATAAACTGGAGCATGACAATAAACCGATGTCATACACTCCTAATGCATGATTTTTACAAATAGACACTGACACAGTGGTGGGGTCAGCAAAACACAGCACAGGAACAAATGCCTGGAGTAAGTAAAGAAATGCTTTTGAAATCTGCTTCTTGGGTAAGAAAAACACATCACTTTGCTGAAGCCTGAGGTTAGGAGGCCAAGTATAGCGAGTTCTGTGCTTGAAGACTTGGACTGCACCCTCCTTTGGGGATCGCTGCAGGTCAGGTAGGGTACAGAGGACAGGCAAAAGCACGAAGCTCACAGGAAGCAGGGTTACAAATGAGAAAGCCCAGGAGAGAGAAGTGGCCAGGAATGGAAAGAGGAAACAGGCTGATCAGGGAAGGATGCAACAAGGAAAATGGAGCTCAGATAAAGAAGGTGGGAAAAACAGGGCTAAACAGAGACAAAGGCAAAAAGTATAATTTAAGCCATTTTGTAAATGTGTAACAAAGCAAAACCTTCCTTCGAAAACCAAAAGAAACTAGGATAAAAAAAAAAATCAGTTCAGTTCTCTGCAGGCATTCACTGTAAATTCACAGAATGCAAATATATTCCCATGCTTGGTGTGCAATCAATGATTTCCTCTGCAATATTTAATCTCATTTATCAAGCTTCTTAGTACAAATTAAGTTACAAGGTAATCAATTAGATTGAAAACACAGCTTGTTTCATTGTTTTAATTTTGCCCCGTAAGCATATTCACCCTAATTTGACAATTAGCTAATGAAAAACCATGAAGTGTTTATGTTGCTTGGCTTTTTATCATTCAAATTCCTCTCCTGAATCATTGCAAATGCATCACCCAGTGGAGTCCCAGCTACAACTTTAAAAGCCTGGCAGAAAATGCACATGGGGAAGGAGAAGGGGAACATGTAGGAACCACAGTGTGGTGGGGGGGTTTGAAAAAGGGAAGGAGGACTCAGGAAACTGCAGCTCTTTTCCAGAATCATGGCAAACTGCCTAAGGGACTGCAGCCTGTTTTCTCCTGGGACACTTTCTAGGAGGACTACTGCAGAAGGCACTGCTTTACCAGAACAGCATGGATGAGCTGCTTTTGTACCCAGAGGAAGTTGCAGCTGCTCTCTGTAGATTCAGAAGGTTTTCCCATGACATGGGGGATGTATCGAAGGCAATGAGTGCAGGGGGATCCCTCAAGTGGGATGTTGCTTCCTGATGGGAAAGACGACAGAAGTGGAGGGGTGCTGTGGTTTTGTGTTTTTTTTTTTGTTTTTTTGTTTGTTTGTTTTTTAAATTGCTGTTAGCTATGATTAATTGCTCTTTTCTTTAAAGAAAATAGTGTTTCCTTTAATTTATAGACATAATTTAGATACAGCAGTTATCCTATTTTGCTTAAGTTTAGGACTGCATATTCTGCAGTTACTGTCTTTCCATGTTCTGGCAGTTTTGATCAAAAAGACGATTAGGGAAACTATACCTGTGAGCCTCCAGCTTTATGGAGGTGAGGGTTTGTGGTGGGGGGGGTTTGTTTGTTTGGGGTTTGGTTTTGTGGGGTTTTACTTTCCTGTTTTAAACTTTTCATTTCTTTTCAGTAAATTGAAGTTTGAGGTTATGTTTAGTGAAGTTCTTGCGTAGCTGAGCAAGTCCATATTTCCTGACCACCAGGGGAAGAGGTGAAGACCAGCCCTAATGATACCAAGCATGCATGTGCGGTCTGCATGCTGGTAAGAGTAGGAGCAAATGTAAGAGGATTCGTTCAACTGACCTAAAAATGACCAAGCAGGTGAGAGAAAGCAGCAAGCAGTGTGATGATGGCTAGGGCCAGAGGAGCACTAGTTCAACCCCTCAACCAGTCTCTTAAAGGACACCCTGAGGGGAAGCAGGAGGATGACAGAAATGGGACAAGAAAGCATGCTGCTGAGCATGGCCATGGGCTGACAGGTGAAACATTATCAGACTTCACTTGTATGACAGACTTTGGTGTTTTAACACTTACACATGATAATGTGATCAACATTCGCTTCCAGCTGTGTTTAGGTGGAAGCAATCCAACATGACTGCCAGCCCTTCCTCTCTCCCCAAGCCCTGTTCTCCATGCCTAGCAAACAAGAGCCAGACACCTCCTCTCCCAAACACTGATTTCTGCCTGTCTAGGCAATGCAGTTTTCTGGGATCACATACAGGATCTAGGACTAAACTATGTGTTTATTATTTGCATTATATTTCTGATTTGGATATACATACAACAGCCCAGTAACTGTCAGTGCTCTGTCTGGTTACAGGAAGGAAATAGCTTGATTACATTATGAGCTCTAGTTATGTATTTGTTAGCTTATCTGCCTAGAAAGAAAAGCAATAAACATCTGATTACAGGCCAGTGAAGACAGGTTTTCATTAAAACAGCTTTGAATTGGTTTATTCTACTGTCCAGCAGCAACTGACTGTAAATGGGAATGATTTCTCTTTGCCTTTTTTTCTTTTTTCTCCCCATACAAATACACTTACAACATCCAGGACAAAATTTGCTAAGTATACAAAAATAATTCTCATCTACATAACAATATTCTTTGCATGAACTTTATGAAACACACAATTAGCTACATCTGAAGCGCCTGGGAATGTAGCTGAAATGTTCTCTTCTCCCATCCCCATATGCAAAGACCCAGTCCCATATGTAAGCATAAGATATCTCCAAGAAACACACACTTGGAAAATCAAATTAAAATAACGCCATACTTCAACTGATTTTGTGGTCATAAGAATTAAGCTGTATTTCATGCAAAGAGCATGAAAAGGCTATCTATTTTCTATGTGGGTGTAAATTCATCAGAATTATATATCCTGAATGAGAGAGAAAGAGTCCTCTCAGCTGCTCACATAGAAAGCCAGGAAGCAGAAAGATAGAAACAGATGGTCTTGAGATTTTCCAATTACAAACCTTTTTGGCAATATAGAACTGGAGGAATTCCAAACATTTGTCACTTTGACATCGCTTTGAGGTAAGTAATAGGATTTTGGTACTTACAAATTCTGAAACATGCTGCAATTTGAAGACTAAAACCAGCTATCTAAATCAAAATCATTACTCGAGGAGTTAAAGTCACATTTTAGAACAGGCACCAATATAAGAGAAGCATCTCAAAAGGCATAAGGAAAACTATTTTTAATTTGATGCTTATTCATAGATTCACTAAGAATCTGCAATAGAGCCAGAAGATATAAGCCACTCTGAGCAGGCTGGGCACGCTCACACTGTTGCTGACACTGTAAAACTGAAACCCACCATAAGGATAAGAGGCAGACTGCTAAACACGGCATCCTACAAGATGAAGAAATCCTCCATTCCTCAAGGGAGCATTACCCCTAAACTTCTGTCTCGGTTGCAAACAAAGGAACTTGGAAATCTGCATCCCTCCCTTTGGTTGTTCGGTGGGTATTTTTAATTTCTTTTAAAGAACGGCAATCCTTTAAACCCAGAATGCTTAAGGATATCTCGTTTTATCATTTGCAAGTGTTATTCCTAGTAGGTTTTAAAAAAGGAATTAGCTAGCACTGGGGTGCACAAAAGGTGTATAAATAGAACTGAGTGGGCACCTCCTACAGGAGCTCAGAGCAGTGTGTGTCTGTGTGCACGCACATGTCTAAAACAAGAGCTAGGTTTAACATTCGGACAGTCATAGCTATTGGAGCTCTCAGATTTTTCTGTGATCTACCACAGAAACTGGGAGTGAGGGCTTGAGCTAATGATTTCATGAAGTAGTAATCATTGATGCACAAATCTACCATTTTTGAAGGGGGGGGAAAACCTTTATTCCTGGGGTTTGAGGGAAGACAGAAAAGGAAAAAAGTAACTTACAGCACTTCCTTTATACTATAACCGTATAAACGTAAAGTGTGTCAGTACTCCAGGTTCTCATTTTACATTAGGTAAATTAACTATGTAATGATATGCTCAATTCCACATCTACAGATACCCCTGCCTTCATATTAAAGACCGCTACAGAAGCTTATCAGACTCAAGACAAGAAACCCAGGTATAGAACCACATACTTTCCCACCCTCACAAAGTTATTCCTCCTGGTTATTCCAATGTGGGAACTGAAAGAAAGCTATAAAAATCTTTGGGTCACTTAGTAACAGCTAAAGAAAAATGAGAAACAGAGTGGGCATTAATTTAATTCCTTAAGATGGTGTGGAGGTTTCAATATCAAAATTTCTGTCAGAAACTAAAAACAGCAAAGAAGTGAATTTTAAACTTATTATGGCAGTGATAAAACTAAAAGTATGTATGAGAAGACATGGTACTTACCACTCAGTAGAAAACAGTACTGAGAAATCTTCCCAAAACCAGAGCTAAAGCTTTCTAACATAACCCAAACCATGGCTATAACCTCAATAATTGCAGCCCACACAAACAGAAATGGAAGGAGTTACTAGTGGTTCATTGTACTGGTCAAAGCCATTCAAAATCAGAACTTCTGTCCACTGATGTGTATCTTTTATATGAGAAACTTGCTTTCACACCCAGAAAATAAAACCTGTGCTTACTTGTTATTGGTGGGTCCTGTTGCCAAGACATCAGATTGCAACTTTGGGAAAAATCCTTGTTCATATTTCCCTTGGCCAATCTTCATATCAAGTAAGTGTGGGTGGATAGCCGTGTGATCGATCTTCATCAGCCGCTGCTCGATGGACTGAGCTGCAAGTTACAGTCACAGGTGAACAACTGCATTAGTGAACCACCTGAAGACACATACTATGACAACAGAAGTGGTCATGCTCCGATCCCTGAAAACACTCTACAAAAGTTAAATAGTGACTTTAAACCCAGAATTCTGTCACTTACAGAAGTGAGGGAGCATCTGCGCTGTTATGTTTGTTATTTAGCTTTTAGTTTCTTCACCCAACACAAGTAGGACTAGCACAAGCAAGTTAGCTGTTAAACGAGCAAGGATTCACAGGAGCCTACGAGATGTGTTATGAACTGGCAAGAGCAGTCCAATCTTTCACTGCAATTCACTGTTTAGTTTTAACACTCCTTCAGCAGAATGGAGACCTCTAAGGCTGGTTGCAAATCTCTATGGGATCAGGCTCCTTGCTCTGCCCCAGACATGCCTGCCTGGGCAGATGTACAGGAGGCAGTGCCCGAGTTTTACAAACATCTGGCACCTATCATGATCCTCCTTCAAAATAAGATGTGCCATTACTGGATGACAGGCCTTCAAAAAGCACAGCTAACTGTAACAAGGCCTCAGCAGCATCAAGAAGATAAACAGACGCTTGGAAAGAGGGGAGGAAACTATGGCGAGATTAGAGAGGAATTTCAGCTCTGCTGAGACTCATGTAGTTCAGTCATTTGCTTTAAGAACATGAGGATTTCATCTCAGATCTGTCACCCTCTCAACATTGAGTCAGATGCACTGTGAAGGAAAGGGGAAAGGAGGTGTATGGGGAAAATCAGCATTTACTTAGCAACTTTAATATTCAACTCTTTATAGCCCATCCATTAACAGGCAGGCCTGTTCTTTTCAGCATATCACAACTACTGAATATGCAGAATGTGGAAGCTAAATCCATTTTCTATTTGTCAGGAACAACACAGAACTCATTTCCTATTTTATAAAACTGTGGTGGGAAAGAAACTGTCAGGAGATTTACATACATTCCCCTTGGAAACTCAGCAACTTTTTTTCCCCCACTAAAATAATAAATAAATAATCCCCTCATGAGGTTTTCTTTTGGAAAAAAGGGCTGGGTAGTGTGGGGTCAAAGGGTTTGAAGAGTTCTGAAAATAGGAAGTTAAACAAACAGGTGCTGGATGGGTGCTCGGGTCACATATATTGTGAGTGGGAAATATGAAGGAAAGTTGGCATTACTATCTGTTTGCTGCGTTTCACAAGACAGAAAATGAGGTTCCGGTGCCACAATATCTACCAAAACTAGACGCTGAATAGAGAGTCGACCTGCAAATTAGAATTGGTTTTAGATAGTTAAGTAGACACAGGATTTCTGACACATTTGTACCAAGTAAAATGCTAGGAAGGAATTACACAAAAAATCCCCAAGAGAAGTGTGTGTTTAACCCAGTTCATTAATGCGTGTCCCAACAAATTTAAGACCATAATTTCCCTGTATTACTTGGAAATGAAATAAATACTTGCACAGTAAGAAAGTCAAATGTAATTTGAAAATGCATCTTGTGACTGTAATGGAAAAAAACCCCAAGTCATAGTATACAGCATACTATTCATTAACACTATTGCTGAAGCTACCAGATATGCCACACAGGATTATGACCCCAGCATCCCCTGCTGCTCTACCCAAATGGCATAAGGCAAAAGAAGGTCTTTTTACAGGAAGGGGCAGATGAGGCCAGTGGAGCAGATACTGGGGTTCCTTGGTGCCACTGGTGCTGGTCCCACCACCATGGTGAAGGAAAATTCTCCTGGCAATGGAACAGAAGCTGCCTAAAATGAGAAACAGCGAGCCCAGCTCGCCGTTTATTAAAGACACCAGCCCAGCAGAACTCGAAGGGAATGAAGAGGCTTCCACTGTTTTGGGTGTTTAAAAGCACGATGAAGTTTTTGTCTAGGGAAAATGAGGACACTGCTGAGTCATCCTCAGGTAGCTTTAGGGCTTCCTTGCTGGCTGCAATGCTCAGATGACTAAGGACCGATATTTCTTTGTGGCTGACACTGTACTTTTGAATATTTTACTAGCCTGTCTGAACGTACCTGCTTCTTTCAAAGTGCTGCATTTCTGATAGTTGGATGTCCGCAGTGCAGGGGCCCTTACATTATATAGCTTTATTTTTTCAATTCGGGAGTCAAAAACTCGCAGAAAAGGGTCCTTCTCTTCCCACTGGGAGATTATCTTATTGTCTATGAAGGTTGCAAACATCTGTGTTTCGATGAAGTGTGAAAGAAATGGGAGGTAAGGCTCAGGTTGGTCCGAAAGGAAGGAAGCCTGAAATACAGAACAGCTCATTAGTGCCATATTCCCACCTGCCATTGACAGGACGAGCTGGCCTACAGCAGAGAACTGATCCAGCAGCCAATGGGAAGGCTTGGACAAGGCTTCCCCACCACAAAACACCTCTCAGAATTGTGAATCCATCTGCAAAGCGGTTTGGTTCACGGGTCACCTCTTCAGTCACAACTGTGAGAAATAAGTAGTTGTGGAGACTTTGTGACAGGTAGGCTGTCACAAACGAAATATGGAGTTATTGAAGTATAACTCCAGCTTTTTCAAAGCAGCCTAGCAGCTACCACCTGCAGGAACAAGCCCTGTGCAACCCATGGCAGACCACTACCAGATGAGCCCACTTGGGACCTCTGGTTTGGCATCCCTGCTTGGGACCAAATCACTTATTTAGTACATATCAATTGGTACACAGTGCACAACAGCTAATTCTCTCTCGTGAAGTCATTCAGGGAAATCAATCATGAATTTCCAATAAAAACTGAGTGTGTGCCCAAGTCTCTAACTGAGCTTTGAAAACTCTAACCTTAATAGCCCATTTTATTACAGAAGTATCAGCAGAGATTGCCTAAACAACACTTGCCTTATGAATGCTGCACCATTCAATGCCTGAATACAAACAAGATCAATAAAAGGCATGGCAGCATTTTTCTGATCAAAAGCTGACTCAAATCAGTATTTAGTCTGTTCCTGCCTCTTTAGCCTTCTACCATTCTCCTTAGGGAAGGACTTGTGTCTGAAAAAGCTGATGGGTAGGAGAGCTAACTACTTTGCAAAGTCACTCAGAAATAACTGTGCAAGCTTCCCAAGATTTCTCTTTCCTTTTGCTAGCCTACAGTCTCTTTATTTCCCCATTTGTAATCTCAGCTTTCTTTTCACTCTAGTGTACGCACTACGGTGGGGTCATAACAGTACTCTTCTGCCATAGGGATGTAATAACCTTCTACAGAACAACATTACCCATTAAAAAAAAAAGCTCTACTGTGAGATTAGAAAACAAGAAGGACTGGATTTGTTTTTTGCCTTGTGTGTGCACCACTCCTCTCATCAAACAAAAAAGACAGAAACAAAAAAATAGTCCATTTCCATGGCTACCCTTTGTACCAAACCCACAGAGGAAGCTCCACCAGCTAGGCAGAAACCTGCCAGCCTGGTTCATACAAGCCAGGACAGCTCTGACCAGCTCAGTGGATCTGCACCAATTCACTTTGGCAGACAATCTGGCCCTGTGTAATCAAGCCAGACAAATCTCTCAGTGGGGCAGGTGAAGAACAGGGGATTAAAGAGTACCTAGGCTATATACACACATTACATAGCTGTTCTCCCTCCCTCCCAAAAGCATTTTCAGATGGAAAAATGAATACACGGCTATCTTTACTTTGTCAAAGTTTTGCATTTGTTCCCTGTTTGTCAGCCACGACTCCATATCGGGGGCAGCCTGAATGACGAAAGCCTCATAGTCTGCAAACATCTGCGTGAAGCGGTTGGCGAACACCTCGCGAAGCTGCACGTTCAGTTTGTAGTCCCTCAGCTCCACCTCCTCACAGGGCAACTTCCCATCCTTCTCCTTCTCTGCAAGGGGAGCCGTGATGGTCATTTTCTCCATCGTCACGCCAGTTCTTTTGGCCAGGGCTTGCAGGCGGGCGATCGTCTCATTGCCCTTCAGCAGCTCATACATGTTGAGGGCATTGCTGGAGATGTTCCCGTTCTTTTTGTCGTTCACCAGGTCACTAAGGACCAGGTTCTTGAGTTTGGTGGCACTGTCGCTGCAGTGCAGGTTACCCTCTGGTGGGATGCCAAACTGCAGGAGAACCTCGGAGATTTCCTGGATGAACTCCAGCTTGTTGGGGAACTGGGGGAATTCCTCTGGCAGTTCGATGAAATGGTTATCAATGTCCACAAAGCACAGGTTTGCCTGAAATACAAATAAAAGTTTCAAAATGGATGTTCAGCACAGAATTGGCTTCCTCCTGGCAGTGTTCAAGGCCAGGGTGGACGGGGTTTTGAGCAACCTGGTCTAGTGGAAGGTGTGCTTGCCCATGGCAGTAAGGTGAGATGATCTCGATGAGATTTAAGTTCCCTTCCAACCCAAACCATTCTATGATTCTGTGATTCTCTAATAAGTAGCCCTGTTTTCCTCGGGCAAGAGCTTTCAGCAGAAGGCTAGGAGCACACATATGCAGGAGACTTTAGCTGTGTTGTCTAGCCTGTGACGCTTCAGTAAAGCTGAAGACCAAGTGGATGGCAACTGGATGAATAAATAAAGTGTCCTGCCCTCTCCTGCTCCCTCAGGACTTGCAGATTCCAAACTTTCCACTGCAAAGATTTGATCTCCCCTCCCAGACTGACCAAGGACACACCAGCAAGCACAATGTGCAGTGCCATTTCTCAGCACATGTAAAAACTATGTGTGTTGAATTATCACATCTCAAGGACATGTTTATTTTACCAGGACCCAACTGCAAGAGGATTCTGTAGCTGTGCTACCAAGAAATTAGATGTTCAGTGAGAAAGATGACATTGCTCCAAGCAAAGCTACAGAAAAAGGTCCCATGCAAATCCTTTGGGATCATGTCTGAGTATAGCTTGTCCACTGGAGGCCAAGTGCCATTACTCCGCTCCCCTTATTCCCTGTTTCCATGAAGGCTTTTAATCTTGGCAATTCCTCTGCCCTAGATTTAAACACAGTGCTCTTAGACAGCTTTGCTACGAATGGAGATGGATCTCAGCCCATAAGATTAAAGCTAAGTGAAGACATTAATCAGTGGAGCAGATACTTTTTGCTAGGGAAGTGTCAATGGGGGGATGGAAGAACCCTACATAAAAATTAATTACATTGCAAATGCACCCTCAGGAATAATAGCAGAATGAAAAACAGTAATCGATCTCCTGGACTGCAGCTTATTTCTGAAATCCACTGCCTGAGTGCGCTGTGCTGAATAAATCTTAAACCAGGTCAGATTCCCAAGGTGCTGAGCTCTGATGGGTTTTACCCTGGCACAAAGCTGCAGAACGGGAGATGCAGAAACCCACAGGGCAGGGGCAGCAGCAGCAGCAGATCTTTGTTATGCCTTACTTAGCCATTAGCTCAGCTCCTCTGCCTGCTCCAAGGCGCTTGTGCTGTTCTTGACTTCTCACTAAAGACTGTGGACTAATCTTCAGATTATGTGAACAGAAAGGACTGGTTTTCCTCCTTTTCTGAAAAGGTTAATTTTCAGCAGGACAATACATTCCACAGAAAACATGGTTATAATATACTGGATATTTTAGGGACATGTTTGACATTAAGCACCTTTTGCATATATACTTTGAAGTGTATTAGCATTAATTTGGTAAAGCAAAGTGTCCCCTCAGCTCTCTTTTTCATAATAAATCTGGATTGTATAAAGAAAAGCGTATCTTCTTCCAGAACAATTTGCTTTACATAGCTATACAGCTTTACAGAGTTGTGGTATGCATCGGTGCGGTTCCTTAGCTCAGGGACTGTCTTCTTATCTATCAATATTTCATTTCAAAGGCTTTTTAATTTCAGCTCTGCATATAATTTACAAAATTTGAAAAATGAGATTTGGATTCAGAAAACCCTTAGGGAATTGGTCTCACTTCTCTCTTCAAAAACATCCGATGATTAAAGTTAATACAGGCAGATTAGTAACCTTAAAACAGCACGATGGCCAGTTGTTAGAATTTTTATCTCTAGCAAACAAATGGTTTATATTTAGAGCAAGAGCTTGAAAAGCTAGCCCCTGGCCTGAACAATAAAGGAATGCTAAAGCAAACAGCACTTTATCACTGCTTGCATGTCGAAGGTTTTTCTATTTTTTTTATTGTCTAGAGGAATTTGAGATCCAAGGTCTTCCCTGTTCAATTCCCCTTCTTTCTTTCCCTCTCCCAGTTACTGGACTTGTGGTGTTCATAAATGCTAATATTTTTCACTCCTTTGTTATACATCATGGTGGGGGGTGTATGTGTTTCCTCCCCACTATTACTCTTTCCTCACTGGCAATATCTAATTTGTTATTCCAGCAGTACTTCAAGCCCATCACATTAGAACTTTAATTTAAGCAAAATGACAGCTTAATCTGCTAACTAAAACACATGACTAATAATTTTTAAAATCACAGTAATTATGTAATATTAGCATGGTTTTACTGAAAAGCAGAGCTAGATACCAGCTTCTTTTCCACACCACTGCAAATTTCATGCAATTGGGTCATTGTATCCACAAGGCAAGACTTGATTTGCACTGTTACATGCCACTGATTCTAATAATCAGGCACTTCCACTTAATACTTAAAATAGACCTTTATTAAAAACCATATTATCCTTGCTCTGTGTTTATTCCTCCAGTTCCACATACAAACTCCCCCTCCTGCATATTCTCCCCTGCTGCTGCTCTCAATCTGCCTCCTCAGTCAGGGCACCTATCTGCATGCCTTGGAGACCCTGCCCCAAGGAAAGATCTGTGCATGAAGCTGAGCACAGCACTACTACTGCCATGAGATGTCACAGCCATACAAGCCCAAGTTAAAATGCATAGCATGGTCTAGAGATGGGTCCAGTCACTATCTCAAATGCAGACAGGCTAGCCATATCGCAAAGACTTTGCACTATGGCAAGTGATCAGTGGCCAGGTTAAAATGTAAGCAGTTTTTTAATCATCTTGGTGAAATTTTGAGGAGAAGGATCTCCATTTCACTCTACCACCAGTGATCTGAACACCTAGATTAGGAGGACCTTTCCATCCTTTTTTCCTCTGTGGAAAATCTGACAGACCAGGCAAAGTTTTCACTTCCCATTGCATGGGAGGACAGAAGATCTTCAAAAGACCACCACTGGACTGAGTCAGTATTACAGAAGTAGGTATGCGTGTATGCCTATAGGTGGTTCACAGCCATGGAATTAATGCAAATCTGGCTTGTTTTTAATGAGCCTCAACCCAGCCAGGAACTTGTGGGCTCATGCAAGGGTGGGACAAGGCTGGCAGGACAGGGTGATACTCTCATCAGCAACAGGGGGACAGGTTTATGCCACTGGACTCTTCATTAGGGACTGTAGTGACAGGACAAGGGGTAACGGGTTAAAACTTAAACAGGGGAAGTTTAGATTGGATATAAGGAAGAAATTCTTCACTGTAAGGGTGGTGAGGCACTGGAATGGGTTGCCCAGGGAAGTTGTGAATGTTCCATCCCTGATGGTGCTCAAGGCCAGGTTGGATGACATGGTTTAGTGTGAGGTGTCCCTGCCCATGGCAGGGGGGTTGGAAATAGATGATCTTAAGCTCCTTTTCAACCCTAACTATTCTAGGATTCTATGATCTAGCAACTGCACCTGAGATTCAGATTCATGAAGACCACCCCCGAATGAAAGGCTCTTTAGTCCTCTGTCAATAGGATTATGACAGTGACAAAGAGCAACAAAACCTGATGAAGCATGTGATGTAGGGAAACCATAGAAACTCTCAGCATCATAGTAAGAAGCAGGAGTAGCATTCAGAACTCAGTATACTTACTGGTACTCATTAAATTCAGGAATAGACTGACAAGGGCTGTGAAGACTTCCCCTACTGTCTCGCTCCTGCTGGCAAACAGCCTTCACAGTGCCAGAGAAGACTCCTGAGACCAGGCATGGCATTTTCCAGCAGGGATTCATGCAAATATTAACAATGCATTCCAAGATTGCATCCCCAAAGGTGGAGACTGACCTCCTGAGGCAGCTCCAGCTTGGAGCGGTCGGTTCCCTCCTTGGACTGCAGCCCCATCAGGTAGGGAACAGGAGCGTCCAGAAAATGCAGGAGAGAGGCAGGAAGGATGGGGACATACACATGCTGCCACTGAAATGGGAACAACAGCGTTGTGATCCCTTCTGCCACGGTCATCAGCCGCTGATAATCTAGACAGGGAGGGAGAGAGAGAGAGGCAGACATTGAGTTATCTTTGTGTTTCACTTTTGAAATCTGGTTGGCAAGGACATCAGTGAGAAAACAAGAGAGAAACCGTGTTTATGTGGTAAGATGTGTGAAAATAAGACAGTACTTAAAAGCCTTACACACTATTTGTCAAAACTCATTACCCCCAGGAAGAAACTGCTGAGCATAAATATTCATATCTTATCTGGATCTATTATGTCATTAGATTCATTTATTAAAAGCATACCAAAAGTTCTCTCTATAGTACGGGATAATAATACTCTAATTCTATAAAAAGCATGTATTTTCACAAGGAAAAAGAGGTGAAAGAAGTGAACTTGAAGGAAACATTGTGGTTTCTCGCTTGCTCCTGTTTGCATGCTTCTGCTCCACTTGCTACTACTATGTTTCAGATTTGCCTTGGCCACATACCAGCAGAAGTTTACAGACCCTAAGTATTTAAAAGCACCGCTTGTAAATAAAACCCAAACAGAAGCCTAGCAGAAATTTAGTTGTCAAAAATATTTTGTATAGCTACCATACTTACACTGTATTGTTTCCCCAAATCTGTATTTAATCCACTAGTTCACTGCTTTGCAATATTTGGCTCAAATAAACATTTCATGCTTTACTTTTTAAATTAGAACTTAATTTGATCCAGCTGAGCTGCAAGAATATTTGGATATGAGTAAATCCGTTTCCAACTACCCAGCTGGCATGATGCAATACCACAACCTGTTTATTAATATGAGGGAATCTAGATTTGAGAACACTTTGGGGTTTGTTTCTTTGTTTTCCTTTAAATAAATAAATAAATCACATGTTGGTATTAAAGAGAAGGGCATCCTTACAGTGAATAGTAAACTGCAGGCAATCCATCAGGAAACAGGCCCTGGCTCTTGTAAGCTGCAGGTGAATCTGAAACCAGATGATTTTCCTACTCCCCATTACAGCAGCTTCTGCCTTAATAACAGCTCCCCCCAGATTTCTAAGAACATGGAGGCACTTAAACCCCAATTCCTTAGGAATCTTAACTTGCCATGAAGCAGCAGCACACCTCATTTAATAGCATTGGTTAAAGACAGGAACACCAAAGCATAAGTTCGTATAAATATCTTTGAACTTGCACAAGGTGCATGGCACAGACAAGACAGGGAGTCAGTTCCAGTTTCTGTCCTGGGCCTCTGCTACCTGTGAAAGCTTCTTTTTACTATTTGCAGCTCCAGTGCGCGGTACATCATCAGTAACCACCAAAAGCAGCAGAAGGGATGTCTCCTCTATGGCTGTATCCTAAACCAGTTCTCAAGTTCTCGTCAGTGCCTGGCAAGTCCCATTGAGCAAACAAAGGATTTTTCACTCTCACCAAGGCCAGACCCGGTTCCTTGGTAACAGTTGGGTTGTTGCCCATCTCTCCTACCCCCTCTGCCTCACTCCATAAAATTAAAGGTATATGTGTGAACCTGGTCTTGAGTCTGATAAGGCTGCTTTTTTCCTATAGCCCCACTGCCTGCTTTTGCCTGCACAGGAACCCTGCCTTGCCCTTTCCATTTCCTGAACAAGCCAGCCTGATGCCCTGGCAGACATCCGCAACAGCACTGCCATCTGACACAGCTCAGCTATTAGGAGGTCACTGGCAAGATGCACTTGAATAAATATGCAAATTAAAACAACAAATTGCATCACCCATTCTCCTTCCTGCTAGCACCTCTTTGTGGAAAACCAGCCTCGATCTGCAGAAGGTCAGCTGGGTGGGCAAAACCATTTTTCATCTTGTCTTACTAATAGCTAGTCACTCAGTCTTCAAAATGATTTTCATGCGCACAAGTCAGTCTCAAGGTTACACCTCAAAGCCATTCCCAATTACAGATCAGCCATTTATGAATCCCTCCTTGTGCAATGGTCTATAATTACACAGGTCCATGTGCTGTCTTGTTGAGGAGCATCTACACAAACTGAAACAATACGACTGGTGAACTTTAAGCACCTCATAACCGTTCATAACTCTGAAAGCTTTAAAGGTTTAAAACAAAAAACATCAAACATAGAAAGCAGCATGTCTTGGTATGCATGAGACCATTTCAAAGTCTGTTCTGATCTACATAGCCTGAAATAATACTACTACAGACAGTAGCTACAGCTGCTACAATGCTTGCTATGGGCTTGGGGAAGAGCGGATGGAAAGCTGCCTGATGGAAAAGGACCTGGGGATGTTGGTCAACAGCCAGCTGAACATGAGTGTGCTCAGGTGGCTGAGAAGGCCAACGGGATCCTGGCCTGTATCAGAAATAGTGTAGCTAGCAGGGTCAGGGAAGTGATTGTCGCCCTGTACTGGGCACTGGTGAGTTTTGGGCCCCTCACTACAAGTAAAGCATTGAGATGTGGAGTATGTCCAGAGAAGCACAATGAAGCTGGTGAAGGGTCTAGAGAACAAGTCTTATGAGAAGCGACTGAGGGAACTGGGGCTGTTTAGCCTGGAGAAAAGGAGGCTTTGGTGAGACCTTATCGCTCTCTGCAACTGCTTGAAGGATGAGAGGAAATGACCTTACGTTGTGCCAGGGGAGGTTTAGATTGAATATTGGTAAAAAAATTCTTCCCTGAAAGGGTTGTCAAGCATTGGAACAGGCTGCCCAGGGAAGTGGTGGAGTGACTCCCTGTGAGGTATTTGAAAGACGTGTAGATGTACTTAGCGACATGGTTTAGTGGTGGACTTAGCAGCACAGGGTTAATGGTTGGATTTGATGATCTTAAGGATCTTTTCCAACCTGAATGATTCTACAGTTCTACATTTCTTCGTGTTCAGGGTCTGAGCTCTGATTTGTACACAGGACATTTCCCAAGAGAAACTGCCCAAGGAAGATAATCCCAGGACAAAGTGGTCCCTATGGCTTCTATTGCAACTGCCACCTCCTACCAGCTGCTTAGCAGGATTTGGCACAGGCCTGTCTCTCACACTTAACCTTCCCCTAATTGAAGAATAGGGCAAAAGAGTTGAGTTCAAGGAGTCTGGATCCAACCCCTTTTTCTGGCAGCATCTGCCAGGGGCCCTTGGCCAAGTCCCTGCATCTCACTTCTTGTGCAGGACAAATAACTGCAGTGGGGATCTGATCCACCATGAGTCGGCAGTTCTGCTGCATGAGCATGGAAATGGAAATGGTTTTGGCATCTGAACATCAATTTTGAACATCAATTCACTACAGATGTAACTCTGAAAGAGGGCAAAATTTGACAAATATTTGGCTTCATGCTGGTTCTCCATAATACAATAATAGGAAAATAACCAATCAGTACAGTATTACAACAGATACTGTGCATGCAGAAATAATCTATCCCGAAGAGCTTAAAGTCCAAACACAGGCAGTGACTGAGAAAAGAATACAAAATTATCCTTCTTTTTTCATTTTACAGACTGGGGACAGAAGCTCTGAGATCTTAGGCAATTCACAAAGCTCAACATAAAAATTACTTTTCGTAGTACAAAGGAATCTGATATCTCAAAATCCTTATCATGCTGCAGCAAAGTGTAACCAAGTTTCTTTCAGAGAGGACAGGGATGACCCTGCCCAAAACAGCTAAGATTTCCCTTGTTCAAGTGCTACATCCAAAACAGGTTGGAATCTTTGATCATAATCAAACAGAAGAGAATTTCACCTGGGATAGTCTCAGGAAAGGCCCAACCATGGAATTTTTGAGTATAAGAGCACACACACGCTCATTCAAACCAGAAACAGTGTTCTTGCTGTGATCAGTACGCTGTTATTCCAGTTTCAATGCACCCAGCCTTCCTGACAAAAAACAATTTGGCAGTTTTCCAGCTCTCTTTTCCAGTAACCTACCAAATGTAAGGTAGAAAGCTGCTGAAGAGCTGGAGTCTCAGCTTGGATCTTCTAAATCCAGCACAATACTTTAAAAATAGACCATGCTTCCTCTTTCTTTTCCCTTTCAAGTCCTGCTTTACATTCAATTTGAAAGCACTTGGAAGCATTTGAAAAGATGGGTTACATGGACACCACTTCATTGCCTCTGCTGCTTTTTGAACATGCATAAAAGTATACCTACAAATACACGCAAAGCCATGTATTTAAATACGCATCCCGAAAGATGATAATCAGATCCCAAAGAATAATTTTTCTTCCCTTATCAAAAGGAAGAAAACAATTCTAAGCAATCATTTTAAACAAAACAAAGCCAACAACAGAGAAAAAAATATAAACCAATGAACCTTAATGAGAAAGAGCTAATTCTTTAGAGGGAAGCACCTGAACTGGCTTTAAAACATTCTTTTGATTTGTAAGTTTTTGCACACGCTACCTTTACAGTCAAAGTATTATAAGCAATCACTGTTTAACTGCTACTTTTTGTAACAAGTATGGATTAGCTGAACCAGGTATATTGGTAAAAATGGAAAATAAAAGGTAATATTCTGCTTTGAGCTCTGAGTGCGAGTCAGGAATGGCACACAGTGAAGCCTGTCTAGGAGCTTGGCACCTTCAGAACTGTAATGTTTATATATAGCGTAATGAAGATGAAAAGGGGAATGTGAAATTCACATCTGAGACAAAAACTGTTTATGAAAGCAAAGGTTTTAAAATCAGGTCTCAATAGCTCCACAGCGTCAATGCATATGAAGTGTTGCAGAGTTCAAAGCGCCCTGGAAGCTTCCATCTTTCATCTGGTTTGTGTACTGGCAGCTGTGATGACTGATGAGCCAGACCAGGTGATTTTTCAAGAGATGTTCAGATAAAATGCACAAAAAGACTTCAGGAAAGGTTGGTCATAGAATCATAGAATGGTTCGGGTTGGAAAGGACTTTAAGATCATTGGGATCCAACCCCCCTGCCATTGGCAGGGACACCTCACCCTAAACAATGCCACCCAAGGCTCTGTCCAATGTGTCCTTGAACACTGCCAGGGATTCTCCACAGAAAGCACCTTGCACCAGTGCTGCCTTCAGGATGCTTGTACAGGCCAGTGACATAGCGTTGTA